GGTATCGAGGTCGGGGGAGAGGGGGTTGGGAAGGAGTTTACATTGAGGGGCGTGATATCGACTGCTGCTTCATTGATAGCAAGTCGTGACATGAACCTGGGCAGACTTTGAGCCAGACAAGCAAAAGAAAACCAAATGAGAAGCAGATGGAAGAGGAAAGGATCGAAATGGAAAAACAATCGAGTACAAAATGAGATTGAAGAGGCAACTTGGTTGCGATACTTGAAATGCAGATGTCGTCAGAGCATGACAAAGAGCAGAAGCAGGAGCATAGCAATAGAAGCAGGAGCAGGAGCAGGAGCAGGAGGAGCAGGAGGAGCAGGAGGAGCAGGAGGAGGAGAAACAGAGAGGAAGATCAGCACGAACCTGCATGCCAGAAGCTGGATGAAGGCGTCCGGCCGGGAGAGAAAGGGAAAAGTAGCCTCCACCAGCCTCCTAGGCCAACAAGAGAGACGAGGAGGAGGTCAGAGAGAAAAGAAGAGGAGAAACCGAAGGATCTCGGAGGATCTCGGAGGATCTTGGAGGATCTTGAAGGATGGAAGCGGATCAATAAGAAAGAGGAGAGGATGCTGGAAGGATGTTGAGTGAACAAGGGATGGTGGTGGTTGATGTGATGCCGTTGGTACATGAGCAGAAGCAGAAGTAGGAGCTGGAGCTGGAGCTGGAGCTGGAGCTGGAGCTGGAGCTGGAGCTGGAGCTGGAGCAGGAGCAGGAGCAGGAGCAGGAGCAGGAGCAGGAGCAGGAGCAGGAGCAGGAGCAGGAGAAGAAGCAGCAGCAGGAGCAGGAGCAGGAGCAGGAGCAGGAGCAGGAGAAGAAGCAAGAGCAGCAGCAGCAGCAGCAGCAGCAGCAGGAGGAGGAGAAGCTCTCACGGGTCATCTCTCTTCAGCTCGCCTCGCTCTGCCCTCAGACTGCATGTCAAAGTCACTCTTGCTCGTGTCTCTGCTGGGCTCTTCCACACCTCAGCTTTCTCAGCTCGTCCTTGAGCTGAGAGTCATTGAGCTGCTCCCACCCTCTGATCTCCCCCAGCAGCTTCTCCTGCTCAAAGTTTTCCTGCTCCACTCGCCAAGCCATCCTGCATTTGCAGCTTTCAGCGGCTTTGCCGGCAACCCCGCCCAATACCTCCTCTCCCTCCTCCTCTCCCTCCTCCTCTCCCTCCTCCTCTCCCTCCTCCTCTCCCTCCTCCTCTCCCTCCTCCTCGCCTCTTTCTCATGCTCTCATCCTCTCCTATTCTGCGCCACCTGTCCACTCTTGTCTCGTTGAGCCTCCGCCCGCCTGATGAGGACGAGGAGCCGAAGAGTGAGAAGTCAACGAGCGCAAGGCAGTCGCCGAGCTGGGAACAGCAGACAGCTGGGCAGCAGCTGCAGGCTCGGAATGGCGGCGAGGGACGACAGGACCCTGTCAAAGTCGAGTTGACAAAGAAGTTCAGCTGACAAGTCTGCTGGTCGAGTATCAGCTGGACTTTGACCCGATCTCCCTGTCCGAACTGCTTCCCCGTGTCCACCAAGATCTGATCCCCTGACTGAGAGAGGAGGAGAGGAACAAGAGAGGTGAAGAGGAGAAGAGGGAGGGGAAGCAAGGGGACAACGGGAGGCGAACGAGAGAGGAAGGGATGGCAATAGTCATCAACTCGATTACTGTGATTATCATGATCTCACCCGGATCATCCCTGTGTGTGAGATGTACCTAACGTTTGAACATGTCACTCAACAGCAAGCATGCATAAATGTACTGAATCACCGCAACAGTTGAAAACATTCCCTTCTTCCCAAATGCTTTCTACATTGCGAAACCCGATCCCCGCCCACCCCGCCCCCGCTTCAACCAACCTCTACTCATTCCCTCTCGTGCCTTCGCCTCTCCACTCATCATCCTTTCTGTCCTCCATGCCAGGCACTTTCACCTTCTCAGGAGAGCAGAGAATGTCAACTCACCATGTCCGATTGCGAAGCGTATGCGACAACCAGCAGGCGTTGAGATTCAGATCAGCATCCATCATTCCAATAAAAGCACCGCCATGATCCTTCTCATTACTATTAGCAAAGCACACCAACACAACATGTGAGGTGGAGACAACTGGCACAGATTATATGTGAAGCAAATCGCCTACAACCTTACCAGACAACAGAACAGACGAGAAACAACAGCAGACACCCAGCTCAGAGATTGGAAGGTAGACCGTGAATCATCTCACCTGGATCACAAGAAATTCCCACATGTGACTCCCCGTCTCCAGTCCTGCGCCTGCTGTCATCGGAGCAGGCAACCAGCGACGGGCTACCGCCATCGACCATGGCGGCGGCGAACTCATTCTTGGTGTTGACAAGTAAGTTGTTCCTGACATGAATGCTCTTGGACCACTTCCTCCAAGTACAAGCTTCTCCTGCTCGCCCCGACCCCACAGGAGGATGCGTAGTAGCCGCTGCTTCGTCCTCCACGCAGCAGACGCGCTCCACCCAATGCTCAGAAGTCACCCACATCTGAGAGACTTGGAGGAGGCAACACAACACTTGGCTCGTCACTCTCTCGCAGATTTCATCCACCATCGAGTCCCATCTCGACCGTGAGGCTGCCTCATCCTTCTCTAGCTCCACTGACCTCACCACCTCTCCCGCACTCCCTCCACCGCTGCTCGACCCTTGCTTGTCGCCATCGGAGGTCTCGCCCTGACTGCTCCCTCCTCCTCCCAGCAGCTCCTGCTTCACCACACACACAAGACACCGTCTGCACGAGCACTCGTCGTAGAGACATAGCGCGTGGCTGAAGGAAAAGTGATTCACCGCTCGATCCCAACAGTGCAGATGACACGGGAGCAACTCAGGACGGTCATGGGAGGCTGAGCCAACTTGGAGCTTTGTAGCAGAGCAGGCGCCTCGAGGAAACAGACTGGAGGTATGCAGAGATATCGAGTCCCTCCAATCCAGTAGGCTAACACAGAAACACACCAACTTCTCTCGACCCTGCGGCGCACTGATGCAACTGCCCAACTCCAGCCCGTTCCTCCAGAGCTGAATCTTCCCCTGCCAACTTCCCAGGTCATACGCGCATGAAACTCCGACACACAACTTTGTCAGCCCTCCACCTCCTTCTCTCCTTCACTTTCGCCCCTCTTCGTCCCTTTTCGTCCCTCTCTCCCTCCCCCCCGCCCCTCCCTCTTCCCTCTTCCCTCTTTGTTTTCCCCTTCCACTCTCTGCTCCTCACCGTATCGCAGCAGTAGGCGAGGTGAATGAATTCTCCTTCTTCCAGACATCGCTGCGGCTCCTTCGCCCGCGCCGGCGCGTCGTCCGCCACTGTCCTACTTTCATCGTTGGTGAGCAGGTCTCCATTCATTCTCATCGTCATGTCACAAGTGTTGACATAGATGATCTTGCAAGCTTCTGTCCAGTCGCGCTCCCCACCTGCTGCCCTCCTCTGATCCCACCAGTCGAAGTTCATCCCGTGCTGGATCTGAAACGCCTGCGATCCCAAGGATAAGAAGGGAAGTTGAGGAGGAGAAAGATAAGAAAAAAAACGAAAGTGAAAATCAGTGCTGATAGAAAAGGAGGAAAGAGGTTGGTGGCGGGGGGAGGGGGAGGGAGAACAGGAGAAAGAGGAGGAGGGGGAGAAGGAGGAGGAGGTGGTGGTGGTCGTGGTGGTGGCATTACGAGCCAAGGACAGTGGGTTTGCAGGGACAAGATACCTGCGGCTCAACATCCAGGAACGCAAATCCCAGTCTTATCCCACTCCGCGACAAGTTTTCTATCCGAGCAAACAGAACGACATGGCCCTCTGTCTCGTCCGAGATGATCGAGCCGAACGCTGAGCTCCAGCCTCCCTTGTCCTCCTCCTTCACCAGCCTGTTCGACCCCGATTGCTGTACCAAAGCTTCGCTCATCACACTCCATATCCTCCTCTCAGCTTCCAGCCCATTTCCTTGGACTGTGTGCAGCCTGTGGCTGTGGATGTCGAGATATCTCACCTGAGACGGCATCGTCAGCATGTTTCTCGCGAGCGCATGCGATCGCTACGAGGTGGTTCCCCTCGTCGACCACAAAGACTCCATGCTCGTCCATCGACCTGTCGAGACGACAGGTGTCACTGAAAGGAGGGCAGGTGTCATACGTCAAGGGCTACCGGAACACAAGGGTTGGCCGATACAGCAGAGACTCCTCCGCCCCTCCGTCCCTGCATCCCTTCCTCCCCCTCTGACCGGCAACGATCGCCATATCTCTTGCATTCTTGGCCTCGAGCACAACATGAAGGTAGGGATCAGGGAAGATCCTCCTCCCATCGATCTCCACAGACGTCATCGCATCTTTCGCTCCTCCTGCATCCTAACCCCGACCATCTCGCGTTGCGGCCGCTCGACCAGCACTGCCATATCCAGATCCCTGTTGCTCTGAGCCTGCCCCAGCCACCGGCCGCCGGGCCGGGCCCCGGCGGCCCGGGCGGCACCGGAGCCTGGGCCGCCCTGCCGGCCCGGGCCGCTTCCGAAGTTCCGACCGTCCGATCGGCGATCAGTCGGAACGGTTACTAGGTTCAGTGCACTGGCACTCGGGCCCTCTGACCGGGCTCGCGGGCCCAGCGCCAGAGGTTGTGAGTCATGACAATGTTTACTAGTTACTCAAAGTTAAGTCCGAGTGACTGTCGCCGGGAAATTAGTCATCGTCGGCGCCCGGAAGGCTTCACCCAATTGCACGCAGTACCATCCGAGCCGCCGCCGCCGCGCGGCCCCGCCGCCGCCGATTATTATGCGACCCCCCGCCATGCGGTCCCCCACTCGGAGTAATCGGATTGATCGCACTCAATGGCCGCGGCCCGGCCCCGCGGCCGCGCCGGGCGGCGAAGCCTGAAGGCCCGCGGGGATGCCAGAGACGCTGGACCGGATCTCATTGGATGCCAATGCCCGGGCCCGCCCCCCGGTGGCCCGTTTCCCGACGGTCACCGGGCCCGGCCGGTCCGACCGTCGCCGGGACCGGGCCCGGGGGCCCGGGCGCGGCCGCTTTCAATGAACTCGGACTTTCAATTGTCCTCCGAAGTACGGTACTGAGTGATTTTTCACTTAACTCGGACCAGGCTCTCACCGGCCCGCCCCAGCGCCAGCCTGATGAGTGTCGGGTGTCACTAATAGGGCGTATCAAATATTAGCAGCCCTAGGACCTGCCCCTAGGTCCATAGGACAATCAATTAACATACACTAGCGTTTTGTGATGCTAGGACCCCCTCCGTAGGTACTTCCTAAGGCCCCTTGTCCTAAATCATAGTGAAACAGGGAGTGAAACATATCATGTGGGTGGGTGGGGGTCCCGGGTAGATCAACTGTAGGGGTGGGTACGTGAAGTGGAAGTAGGGGTTGTGACTGGAAATGGAAGGGGTGATAGAATGCATCACATTGGGGGTGGGGTCATGAACTTCCTGGGGTAGGGGCACCACCATGGACCAACATTTTTCAAGCGGTTGATCAAAGTTTCGGCGAAATGCGGGTGCTGAAGGAGAGAGGAAAGATGGCGGCGGCGGAGGAGGGAGGAGGATCTGAAGATCGGGGAAGCAGGGAGGATCAAGATCGATGTGATGAGTCGTGGAAGCTGCTGCGGCGAATCTTCTCAAAGGTATAGCTCTGTTGACTCGGAGGCCCTGGGATGCTTTCGGATTTCAAGTGCTAACTACTTCAAGGCATGCGAGGAGAAGCAGGAGTAGCAGAAAGTATGGAAGAACTAAGTTCAGATAGCGTTGAAACAGTAAACTCGTGGGAGGAGGCAGTGATTTGGTCGCTGCAAGGGCTAGAGATGAAGTTCAAGCGTCCTCGTTCCCGGACAGGATGGGAAGGGGAGTCGGAAGCAGTAGAGGACCTTGTCTGGTGGGGCTCGGTCTGCGGAAGAGTCAGCATGATATATGATGGATCGTTGGACGACCAACTTGAAGGCAACGCCCTCCGTTTCTGCACAGAATCTTCCGAGCACGCCCTGCAGGCTTTGGAGACGATCCGGAGGGAGCTGGAGAGGGAGCAGGCAATGCACAAGTTGGGGATGCTGGTGATGTTGTGACACGTGCTGCAGGATGTACCTGCATGCCAGCAGCAGATTGTCTCATACCTGCCGGTCTGCACATGGATCGGGTTGAGCTTCATCAGGTCCGGGCAGTACGAGCGAGCGATGGAGGCGATGGAAGTCGGCATTCAGATGCTCAAGGTCCCCAGAGCTTTGCTGCTGGGCCTCCTGCTCGTGGCTGACCTCTCCCTGCAGCTGTGCGATGCCGGATGCGTGCGGCCCTGCCTTGAAGCTGGCATCCGATGCCACAGGGCTTTCTGCCTCCTCCGGTAACATCATGAGCGATGCTTTGTCCCTCTCTGACCGGATGCCCTGCAGCCTGAGTGGTGTGAGGGAGAGCCTGGAGGAGATCAGGAGAGCCAAGGAGTGCATGAAGGAGTACCACGGAGAGGAGTGTGTGAAGACTTGTGTCATGCATCGCGTCTGCTGGAACTTCGCCCCACAAGTCGCACTCTGCGAGTCCCTTCTCCTGCATCTCCTGCGCAAGGTCGCTGCTGCTGCTGCTGCTGCTGCTGCTGCTGCTGCTGCTGCTGCTGCTGCTGCTGCTGCTGCTGCTGCTGCTGCTGCTGCTGCTGCTGCTGCTGCTGCTGCTGCTGCTGCTGCTGCTGCTGCTGCTGCTGCTGCTGCTGCTGCTGCTGCTGCTGCTGCTGCTGCTGCTGCTGCTGCTGCTGCTGCTGCTGCTGCTGCTGCTGCTGCTGCTGCTGCTGCTGCTGCTGCTGCTGCTGCTGCTGCTGCTGCTGCTGCTGCTCTGATCACCTTGCTGCAGGACAAAGAAGCTGTCGATGCTGCGGAGAGAGCGGTGACGACGCTCCGAGCACATGCCCAGCGCATAAGGGAGCAGCAGCAGCAGCAACAGCAGCAGCTGGAGAACGAGGAGCAGGAGGACTGTGAAGGTGAGGACAGGAGAGAGAGCTTGCCTGTCGTTCAGCTGGTTGACGTCTCCGGGCATTTTGCAGGCAGCGGCTGCTTCGTCAGGAGGTTCCTTGGACTTGACTCTCCCAGCAGACACTCGCAGCTGCTCAAGGTAGAGTCAACCTCCTCCCGTCACTCCGCACGTCCTCACTCACCACTGCGCTCTTGCTCTCAGTGCATCTATGTCGACCTTGCCGCCGCCATGCGCGGGCTGGCGCTTATCTTAGGATCGTCCTCGTCCTCGTCCTCGTCCTCGTCTCCTTCGACTCTCTTGTCCTCTTCGTTGCCCTCGTGCTTGTCCTCCCTCAAGGAGGGGAGAAGATCTCAGGATGCTATCAACAAACTGCAGTCTGCCTCCGATCAACTCTTTGAAAGACACATCAGAGGTGCTGCTTTCTTCTCCTCCCCTCCCCACTCCCCGTTCCCCCTTTCCTCTTCCCCTCCTGCTTCTCGACCTCTCCCTCTCTCTCTCTCTTCCTCTTTCCACTCTGCACTTTCTACCTTCCACGTCTACTTTCGATCTGGATCACGATCCGCCTTCCTCTCCTGCTCTTGAAACTTCTTCCTTGCCCTCCATTCTGATCCGGTTTGTTTGCAGAAACGTGGGGATCGGGGGATCAGTGAGTTCACGTTGTCACGGCTGCAGAGGCTGATGCTTGACATGTCAGAGCAAGACTGCTGCGGCACTTTCTTGCTCCAGATGTGAGAAGTTTCAGCGGAGATAAACAAAGTCAGTCTTGTCCAACTCCTTCCCTCCCCCTCCCTACTTCATTTCCCGATAATCATCTCCTCTCTGCAACCCTCCTCCCTCTCCCCTTTGCTCCTGCTCTCTCCTTCTCTCTCCTTTCTTTCTCATCCCAGCTCGCCTCTACCTGCTCCACTCCTTTCTCCTTCTCTCCTCCTCCCTCCCTCGCCTCCTTGGCTGACAACTTCCGACAGATGCCGTCAAACTCAGCGGAGCCAACGCGTTGAGATTCACTCAAGTGAGAAGTCAGAGCTGCGATGGTTCAACTCGTGACTTTGAGGTCTCAGAACTGGTACATCGGGCCGACAAGCAGCGGAGACAAGAAAGTGTTCAATGTCAGTGTGAGCATGTCTTGACCTCCCAAGTGACGCCGCAGCATCAGAGCAGCTGGCATGGAAGGACATCCAAGGCTGATATGGAGGGGAGGCTCGATGGGGCAAGGCGAAGGGAGCAGGGGAAGCAAAAGTCCCTGAGAGCAACATACGATGTCTCTCGTTCCTCGATGGTTCGGAGACATTCGCTGAATGCTCCTGCTCCCGCTCCTGCTCCTGCTCCTGCTCCTGCTTCACCAGCTGCTGCAGACAGGCATCGCAACGAAGAGGTGACTCGTCTATTTGTGACTTTTCACTACAGTCACATCTCTTGATGGCAGCGGCAGAGGTTGTCAGAGTCGAGACTGTGAGTTTCGTTGTTCTTGCAAGCTGGGAAAGCAGGTGGAAGTCAGCTGACCTGTTGAGAAGGAGCTGGGAGCGGCGGCATGATGGGCAGTCGATCAAGGTGGACGCAGCGAGGGGAAGGAGCAGCCTGACGCCGTTGCAGGAAGATGAGCAAGTTGATCCAGATGCTGGGGAGGTGAAGATGAGGATGCGGGAGCGGGGGAAGGGGAGGGAGGGAGGGAGGGAGGGAAGGGAAGGGAGGAGGGAGGGAGGGAGAGAAGGGAAGGGAGGGAGTGAGGCAACGGGCAGGAGGTCATTTTCTCAAGTCCATCATCGTCTCCACAACCAGAGGTCGGCCAAACGCGCCAGGAGCAGCACAGAAGGTGAGAAGAACCCGGATATTGAGTATGAACCGAACATCTTGTGACGACCATCTTTGTCTCGCATGATAATCATGGTGTCCAATCTCACCCTCTCCCTCTCCCTCTCCCTCTCCGTCTCCTTCTCCCTCACCCTCACCCTCACCCTCTCCCTCTCCCTCTCCCTCTCTCTCTCCCTTGTGCGCTAACATTTTCAACCTTCTTGTTGATTCCTTTCCTTTCTTGTCTCACTCAGCACAAGGTCTCGCCCGGAGTCTGCGTCTCCCATGTCACAGAGGAGGAGGCCCTTCACTCGAGCTACTCATGCGCTCTCGGTCCGTTCCTCCCTCCTCCTCCCCTTCCTCTTCCTCCTCCCTTCTCCTCTCGTCTCTCGTCTCTTTCTTCCTCTCGTTATTCCTCTTATCTCGCTCCTCGTCCTCTTTCTCTCTTCCTCTTATCCCCTCCCATTTTCTTCCTCCCTCTCCCATCTCCTCATTGTTCTTTGCTCTTGTGCTCATTTTCTGTTTTTCTATCCTCTATCCTTCGCTCTTCCTCCTTCTCAACTTGTCAGGGCGTCGTCACATCGGACGAGCAGCTGGCAATGAGGTAAAAGATGGACGGAAGGCAAAAAAAGGCAACAGCAAGGAGAAGGAGCAGAAACAGAAGCAGGAGGAAGTGAATGCAGGGAAGGGGGAGGGAGAAGAAGAATGAGCAGGGCAACGGAGGAGGGCAAGGGATGAAGGAAGTAGGTGGAGGCAGTGGCTGCTTTAGGAAATGAGGAGGTAAAGGAGAATCTTTTGTTGATGGCTGTTTGCTTACAGGTCAAGTCAGGAGCTTCTAAGTCCAGGTCTCCTCCTCCTCCTCCTCCTCCTCCTCCTCCTCCTCCTCCCATCTCTCCTCTCCTCTTACCTCTGGTCCATCAGCAAGTCCCACACCGCAAACTCTCAGCAGAGGGGTTAGTCCAGCTCCTGCCCAGCTGTAAGTGACCGGGGACACGCAGGGGGACAAGAAGAAAACGCCTTCCTCGCAATCTAGAGGAAAGTTCATGACATTCTGGAGCGATTCCCAGCAGAGCAGGTGCCTGTCCTTTTCCTCCTCGCTGCCCTCTCCTCCTTCCTCCCTCCTTCCCCGCCCGTACCAGCCCTCCGCTCCTCCTCTCCCTCCTTGTCCTCGTCTTCCTCTACCTTCTTCCCTGTCTGTATCTCACTCCTCAATCCTCCTCCTCCCTCCTCCTC